GACTATGGATGCATGCCAGGTCCAAGCAAGAACATCTGCTGGACTATATGATGCAGGCCCATGTATTTGACACCAGGACTTACCGTGGAGCTGATCTACCCAATGACCATCGACTTGTCATCTGTAAGATGTGCCTGCTATTCTTCCACTCCGGTGGTGGGTGTCCATCATGCAGCTAGCACCCTCTATGCGGCCGAACAAAAGCTTAACATGCCAAGGGGGGTGTTTAGGACTGTGGCTCATGCAGCTGCAATGGCTCCTCTGGGTACGTGGTCCAAACCTCCTGCGAAACCCTGGCTGATGAAGGAGTTATTCGGGCTGGCTGAGAAAAGCAACAGGCCCACTCCCATGTCGGAAAATGAGGCTGACTGCAGCTTTCGCTCGGAGGTTTGGAGAGCCGTGTGGCGCTGCAAATATGAGTGATGGTCATGGGTTGCTGCGGAGATAGAATCTGCCTCAGTAGCCCGTGGTCATAAATCACTCTTTAAATGCCATCAAAAAAGTATCACCGTCCTTAGGGGGAAAGAAAGGTGATCTGATCTCTGACCCCCAGGAACAGGTTTTCAGGTTTGGTGAGCATTTCTGTGACGTCTTGGGGGAGGGGAAATGCCTCAGTCCAGAAAACATCATGGGGTACAGTGGGGATGATCCTGCTGAGGCTGTCGTGCCTCAAATATTGGAAGAAAGTCACTCCCTGTGAGTGGCTGGCCTAAGTGCCATCTGTTGAATTACAGTCGGCGATCCAGAGTCTGAGACCAGGACAAGTGCCAGGCAGAGATGATCTCCCAAGCAAACTGCTGAGGGAGGGTGGCATTTGTATGCAGATTGCCCTATATGACATCATCATAACAGTCTGGACCACTGGATGGGTTATGCAGGATTAGAAGGGCTCCCTGGTGGTCCCCCTCTTTAAGAATGGGGAGTGCACAGACTGTCAGAACTACAGGGGCATCTCCTTCATTAGCGTGCTGGGACAGGTCTTGGAAATGATTATTCAACACCGCTTTGCCAGGCACGCTGAGGAGAGGCTTGCGGAGCCCAATGTGATTTCGCCCAGGGCAGTCCTGCACAGATGCCATATTCTCTGTCCGTCTGCGACAGCTCAGATGGAAGCAATTGCAAAAGGACTTTCATCTCTGCTTTATTGACCTGGTCAAGTCCTATGGCACCAAATCTTGACTTAAAGCTTTCGTGACTGCAGGAATTAATATTCGTGACTATACCAAAAGACCAAAGAATATGCCAACCACCAATAGGCCTGTGCTCTGGGTTGTTCTTCGTGCTTTCGGAGCCCCTGACTCTCGGCTCATAATCATTAATGACCTTCATGATGGTGGCCAGGCCCAGGCACGTGGCCGAGAGTCTAAGCCATTCCCTGTTTATCTTGGGGTGCAAGAAGAGATTTTTTTTCTGGTGCCTACATTACTTAACATTTTTCGAGCACGGAGTTCAAGAAGCCTTCCATGGCTGTACCGGAGGAATCTCCATCTGGTACAGATATAATGGGAGGCTGACCGATGCCCGGGTGCGGTCAAGGGATGGCTACCTATTGGTCAACCATGTTATGTATGCTGATGATCTGGTGTTTGCTGCTCACTCAGAAGAGGAGTTTGAGGTCCTGCTGCTTGACCTGGAGTGTGTGAAGCACCTGCCAGGGTATTTTGCATCGTCAAACACTCCACCCCCTCAACTCCCTATTGGTAATGGGGTAGTTGTGAAGAGTTGAAAAGTTTCCATACCTGAGCAGTGCGCTTATGACTAGCTCCGGTTTGACAGCAGAGGTCTCACTCCGAATCGGTCGAGCGGCACTATCTTTTTATCTGCTGCATAACGCTGTGTGTAAGCTACCTGGTCTGTCGCTCCACAGTAAGCTTCGGGTTTTCTCGGCCACAGCCATGGCCCTCCTCTATGCTTGTGAAACGTTGGGACCCCCCTTATGGAACATCTTCGCTGGTTAGAAACATTCAGGCTGGCTTGCCTACGATTCATCCTGGGTTTAACCAGGCTGGATTGTGCGAGCTATATTTCCACACACACGAGGTGGCGCGGTGGTGAGCCCACTGTGCTATAAATCTAGGGACACAAATTCTATTCCTGTTCACGGCCACCATAGGACGACTGTGCCTGAAATGAGCACCTGGTGCTGTGAAATAAACATCGGCACTGGGGAGACAAAGGCGGCCAGGCCTGGTTCTGCCCATACCACCTGCTCATGTGCCGTGTTGCCCCCCTTCAAAGCGCTCGCTAACAGAACTTTCCCCAAAGAGTCTGTTCAGGCTATACGGGGGACCTTTGTCTTTGTGTTTGTGTGAGAGAGCAGCTGAGTGGAGTGGACTTCTCGGGCCTGGACATGGATCCACTGAAATCTCACGGCATTCTCATCGACTCCTCTGAGCCCTACAACGACAACAACCACACCGCCACCACACTGTCCTCCCAGTGAGTACGGGGTGGTGGTGGGGGTAGTGATGACGATGATGATGATGATGCTGCTGCTGATGATGCTGCTGCTGATGATGCTGCTGCTGATGCTGCTGCTGCTGCTGCTGATGATGCTGCTGCTGATGATGCTGCTGATGATGCTGCTGATGATGCTGCTGATGATGATCAACCTTGACCCCGTCTCCCCGTGCTGTGTCTCCGGGCACAGGTATCTGCTGCAGGTATTCTGTCTGCCACTCTTTGGGCCGGACTCGTGCTTTCTGGAGCTCATCAGTCGCCACGGAAACCGCGGATTCGGCGAGGGGAACATCCGCGCGCTGTGGCGGTCGGTGGAGCTCTCCCGCACCTTGGCAACATCGTCGGCTGCAGCCTCATCAGCCACGGCTTAACGCCTGCTGGTGTTCCCAGCCGATATTGGGGTTCATAATGCAGTTTTGGTTTACGGCACGGAATGTTTGTGAGGGTAGAGTGTGTCGGGTGAACGGTAATGTTTGTTACGGTCGTGGGGGGGGGAGCGGTTAATGTTTGTTAGTAGTGGTGGTGGGGGGTGGGGGGATATCTATATTTTCATATTCGGGAATCTCACGGCGGCGTGACTGCCCAGCCACTCGCAGCTGCCCCATCATGTCCGGGGGAAGCGTTGCTGCTGCAGCGTCTCCGTGTCTGCGGTGCGTACGATCACTTCACTCACGGCTCGGCGAGCCGCCTTGAGCTGCGGGGAGCCCGGCCCCGGCCTCGCTGGAGCCACGGTTGCTGCTGCTCAAGAAGCGTCATCTGGAAGCAATGGCCTGAGCAGCCTTTTGGGGCAAGTGCTGTTAGCGAGCACCTATGAAGGCCAACATGAGGGGGGGGGTGGGGGGCTATGGGTGTCCAACACCATATCCGGCCACCTTTGTTTGCCTCGTGACACGGTTCATATTCTATGCCGGATACCTCATTTGACCCACGCTCTGATCCACTCTCGCACACACGCACCACACTGCAGTTCACGTTCGTCTGCGTTTTCCTCGAGCTGCTCCACTTTGGGAATTCCTCTCGCAATCATCCTGTTTCCCAAACTCTTATAACCATGCTCTGTTCAAGAAACGTGTTACAACTCGTGAGAGTGCTGTTTGTTCCTGACAGCGTGATGTTTGGGCCCCTTTGAGCCCACTCAATTTGTGATACAATTTTCTAATAAATCTTCAGCCAGGCCTTGCAACACCCGCTACTCAGTGTTGGGTTAAGGTTTGTATATGTGTAGATGTCTTGTGCATGCGTTAATGCGTGGGTACAGATGATGGTGCAACTAGCCTGGCACAAGCGCTGTGGTGGAATTGCCGCCAGTGGAGAATTGCAGTTGAATATTGTGTCCGTGTGTTGACATTGAACACTCAACAATATCTAACCAGAAGAAGAGTCTGCTGAAACATCTAAATCATTCCTTTATTCTTATTAGCTGTACAAAAACCTCTTATTTTACATAACATGTTATTTCTCTGCGTCTAAGTGTGCACGTGTGTCGATCTTTGTATAAGCAGTGGGGAACGGCGCAGTCATTAGCGCACCGCACTCCAATCAAGGTTTGCGAGAGTTCGATACCCGGTGACATCAGAACCAATCTACCCCCGAGGTCGACTCAGCCTTGAAAGTAGTACCCGAGTGTGGTGTGTAGTAAACATTTCGGAGGAGACAAACGTAGCAGACCCGGGCATGGTGCTGGTCACACCACCCACACTCCTCGTGTGTGCCGCACCGCCATGCCTTTGCCCAGTGCTCCTCGCTAAGAGCACTTGCCCCAGAAGCCTGTGTGGGCTACGTGGGGGATCTTTGTCTCGTGTACTTGCGCACACGGTAATAACACAGAGCCAACTCTCCCACCTGCTTTAAAAACAATCGAGCGAAGGTCACAAGCGATGCACAATCAAATAGCCGTGTCGGTGGCGGAGAGAGTATGAGAGGGTGGCCGGGAAGGTGACCTGGACGTTGCCAATCAAAACCGGTCACCAGTAGGGGACGGTCACGTGCGTCAAGGCCCCGTAGTGGACGTAGTGCAGGCTCCCAGCTCTCTCTCTCGCCTCTCTTATCGGTGTGCTGTGATCAAGTGTCGTTTCCCGGGAACGTCACCTACGATATATATTTAAGGCCACAATAGGGTTGTTCGTGACTAAGTAGTCGAGATTTGGTTACGGGTAAAAAAATAAAATAAAACTTTGACCTCTTGTGATAATCGTCAAGCTGTCTCTGACTGTGAACGGGAGTCGTTGTTTCAGGGTCACAGGTATCTATGTACAGAGTTCGATATTTAAATAAATATTCTGGCAGGAAATTAACCATTTCAACAAAACGTTAACGAGCGAAATGATACTCGCCATCACGCAAGGCCAATTTTGCAAAACGGACGATATGCGGAAATTCTACATTCCTATGATGCACGTAAAGCGGTGCTCATTTTTTTGCCCCCCCCCCCCCCAGGGAGGGATGATGGGACGTGTGTAACATAGTTAACGATTACAAATTTGTAAGTAGATAACACGCTTTAGAGTAATTTGTGATTTGCAACGTGAACGTGAGGGAAATCCATGGGTAGCGACGGTAGTAAACAGTGACCTCCATGGTCAGTTACTGAGAAGCAAGAATTATGAATGACGGATCGGTCTCCTCTCACACGTGTCTCGCGCGAGAGCAGATGTCTCTCTGCGGCGCTCGGTAGATCGCTCTGGGTCTCGGGGAGGTCTCCAGCGGGAAGATTTGGAGACTCGCGTTGACCAGAACTCGGCAGGATGAGGAGGCCTTGAGTGGCCTGAACGCGACGACCACCACGGCTGAGACGTTGAGGCACGGGGGATGCGGAGATGCGGGGGGACACTGGGTAGAGGGGGGGGGGGCAAGGAGTTTGGGACAATTGTTTAAAATGCGTCCATCTCACGCCCTCGCGAGCGAGGGGGTCGTGTGCACCCTCTTCTCACGCCGCCCCCCCCAAACCCTCGTGCCCGACTTACAGCACCTCCCTGCCCCCCGCCCCTCCGACCCAGCCGCTGCGGCCGAGGAACCCCATGAGTTTCTTCCTCACGGCTTTCTCCAGCAGCATCGGCAACGCTCCTTGTCCCAGTGGCACTGCTCCCTGTGAGCGGCCCTTGCCCTGCTGCTGCTGCTGCTGCTGACCCAGCACCTGCTGCTGCGCCTGCTGCTGCTGCTGCTGCTGCAGCCTGCGCGCGTGCCTGTGCGTGGAGCTCTGCAGCACAGCGATGGTCTTGGCGGTGACATACCGCGCCGGCGACAGGTTCATAGAGGAGCACAGCGCCGACTCGCGTTCCGACAGAGCTCGGGCGTAACCACAAGCATCCTCCGCCTCCGCGTCGGCCGCCGCTGCGTCCGCTCGCTCGCGCCCATTGTGCCCGCTGGTGCCCGACCCGGCGCCCTGCTGCTGCTGCTGCGCCTGTCCGAAGCGGCGCTTGTTCCGGCGCAGCGCCGCAAAGTCGTCGAGTCGGCGCACCCCGCTGCGGGCACGCGCACGCTGCAGCTCGCGCACGCGCTCCCGCAGGCAACGCTCGCGCCGTGCGCCCTCCAGCAGCTCCACAAACTCCCGCGCCGGCACGAGGCGGCACAGCGGCCGCAGCTTGTGCAGCAGCTCCTTCTCCTCCTTGGCCATCTTGCGCTTGGCTGGCGGCTCCTGAGACGCCGACGCCGCTTGGGTCCCGCCGCCCGAGGCCGCCGTGGGAGGGCTGGCGCCGGCGCCCTGGGCGGTGGTGGCGGCGTAGGCGGCCTGCAGCGCGCACGGCCGCCCGAAGAAGGCCTGCACCAGGCCGTACTCGCGCGCCGCCGCCTTGCGCAGCTCGCGCTGGTGCAGCGCGCGGACGTAGGCACACACCACCGCCATCTTCAGCTCCAGCTCCAGCAGCTGTGCGCCGTCGTGGTGATCGAGGGCTGCTGCTGACGACGAGGATGAGGAGGAGCGGGCCGCCTCCGTGACGAGCGCCACCTCGTCGGGCTCAAAGGAGGGCAGCTCCGACACGGGCGTCTCGGCGTGCGGGAGGAACTCCATCTCAAAGTCGTCGCGCAGCGGCATGTACCCCAGCGTCTGCTGCTCCTCCGCGGAGATGGGGGGCACCGGCGGCGGCGGAGGGGAGCTTGAGCCACCGCCCCCACGGTCCACGGGGGGCTCAGGCTGCGGGGACACGCACAAGGAGACATCGTCGTCATTGTCGTTGTACCTGTGTGTGTCTATGGGTCCCTGTGTGTGTCTGTCGGTCCCTGTGTGAGTCGATGGGTCCCTGTGTGTGTCTGTCGGTCCCTGTGTGAGTCTATGTGTCTCTGTGTGAGTCTATGGGTACCTGTGTGTGTCTGTCGGTCCCTGAGTGAATCTATGGGTCTCTGTGTGAGTCTATGGGTCTCTGTGTGAGTCTATGGGTCTCTGTGTGAGTCTATGGGTCTCTGTGTGAGTCTATGGATCTCTGTGTGAATCTATGGGTCTCTGTGTGAGTCTATGGGTCTCTGTGTGAGTCTATGGGTCTCTGTGTGAGTCTATGGGTCTCTGTGTGAGTCTATGGGTCTCTGTGTGAGTCTTTGGGTCTCTGTGTGAGTCTATGGGTCTCTGTGTGAGTCTATGGGTCTCTGTGTGAGTCTATGGGTCTCTGTGTGAGTCTATGGGTCTCTGTGTGAGTCTATGGGTCTCTGTGTGAGTCTATGGGTCCCTGTGTGAGTCTATGGGTCCTGTGTGAGTCTATGGGTCTCTGTGTGAGTCTATGAGTACCTGTCTGTGTCTGTCGGTCCCTGTGTGAGTCTAAGGGTCCCTGTGTGAGTCTATGGTCTCTGTGCGAGTCTATGGGTCCCTGTGTGAGTCTATGGGTCTCTGTGCGAGTGTGTGGATCTCTGTGCGAGTGTGTGGATCTCTGTGTGAGTCTATGGGTCTCCTGTGTGAGTCTATGGGTCCCTGTGTGATCTATGGGTCTCTGTGTGAGTCTATGAGTACCTGTCTGTGGTCTGTCGGTCCCTGTGTGAGTCTAAGGGTCCCTGTGTGAGTCTATGAGTACCTGTGCGAGTCTATGGGTCTCTGTGCGAGTGTGTGGATCTCTGTGGCGCGTGTGTGGATCTCTGTGCGAGTGTGTGGCTCTCTGTGCGAGTGTGTGGATCTCTGTGTGAGTCATGGGTCTCTGTGTGAGTCTATGGGTCCCTGTGTGAGTCTATGGGTCTCTGTGTGAGTCTATGAGTACCTGTCCTGTGTCTGTCGGTCCCTGTGTGAGTCTAAGGGTCCCTGTGTGAGTCTATGAGTACCTGTGCGAGTCTATGGGTCCTGTGCAGAGTGTGTGGATTCTTGGCGAGTGTGTGGATCTCTGTGCGAGTGTGGGTCTCTGTGTGAGTCTATGGGTCTCTGTGTGAGTCTATGGGTCTCTGTGTGAGTCTATGGGTCTCTGTGTGAGTCTATGGGTCTCTGTGTGAGTATGGGTCTCTGTGTGAGTCTATGGGTCTGTGTGAGTCTATGGTCTCTGTGTGAGTCTATGGGTCTCTGTGGAGTGTGTGGTCTCTGTGTGAGTGTGGGTCTCTGTGTGAGTCTATGGGTCTCTGTGTGAGTCTATGGGTCTCTGTGTGAGTCTATGGGTCTCTGTGTGAGTCTATGGGTCTCTGTGTGAGTCTATGGGTCTCTGTGTGAGTCTATGGGTCTGTGTGAGTCTATGGGTCTCTGTGTGAGTCTATGGGTCTCTGTGTGAGTCTATGGGTCTCTGTGTGAGTCTATGGGTCTCTGTGTGAGTCTATGGGTCTCTGTGTGAGTCTATGGGTCTCTGTGTGAGTCTATGGGTCTCTGTGTGAGTCTATGGGTCTCTGTGTGAGTCTATGGGTCTCTGTGTGAGTCTATGGGTCTCTGTGTGAGTCTATGGGTCTCTGTGTGAGTCTATGGGTCTCTGTGTGAGTCTATGGGTCTCTGTGTGAGTCTATGGGTCTCTGTGTGAGTCTATGGGTCTCTGTGTGAGTCTATGGTCTCTGTGTGAGTCTATGGGTCTCTGTGTGAGTCTATGGGTCTCTGTGTGAGTCTATGGGTCTCTGTGTGAGTCTATGGGTCTCTGTGTGAGTCTATGGGTCTCTGTGTGAGTCTATGGGTTCTCTGTGTGAGTCTATGGGTCTCTGTGTGAGTGTGGTCTCTGTGTGAGTCTATGGGTCTCTGTGTGAGTCTATGGGTCTCTGTGTGAGTCTATGGGTCTCTGTGTGAGTCTATGGGTCTCTGTGTGAGTCTATGGGTCTCTGTGTGAGTCTATGGGTCTCTGTGTGAGTCTATGGGTCTCTGTGTGAGTCTATGGGTCTCTGTGTGAGTCTATGGTCTCTGTGTGAGTCTATGGGTCTCTGTGTGAGTCTATGGTCTCTGGTGAGTCTATGGGTCTCTGTGTGAGTCTATGGGTCTCTGTGTGAGTCTATGGGTCTCTGTGTGAGTCTATGGATCTCTGTGTGAGTCTATGGGTCTCTGTGTCGAGTTATGGGACTCTGTGTGAGTCTATGGATCTCTGTGTGAGTCTATGGATCTCTGGTGAGTCTCTGGGTCTCTGTGCGCGTCTATGGTCTCTGTGTGAGTCTATGGGTCTCTGTGTGAGTCTATGGTCTCTGTGTGAGTCTATGGGTCTCTGTGTGAGTCTATGGTCTCTGTGTGAGTCTATGGATCTCTGTGTGAGTATATGGGTCTCTGTGTGAGTCTAGGTCTCTGTGTGAGTCTATGGGTCTCTGTGTGAGTCCTATGGGTCTCTGTGTGAGTCTATGGGTCTCTGTCGTGAGTCTATGGATCTCTGTGTGAGTCTATGGGTCTCTGTGTGAGTCTATGGATCTCTGTGTGAGTCTATGGGTCTCTGTGTGAGTCTATGGGATCTCTGGTGAGTCTATGGGTCTATGGGTCTCTGTGTGAGTCTATGGGTCTCTGTGTGAGTGGTCTCTGTGTGAGTCTATGGGTCTCTGTGTGAGTCTATGGGTCTCTGTGTGAGTCTATGGGTCTCTGTGTGAGTCTATGGTCTCTGTGTGAGTCTATGGGTCTCTGTGTGAGTCTATGGGTCTCTGTGTGAGTCTATGGGTCTCTGTGTGAGTCTATGGGTCTCTGTGTGAGTCTATGGGTCTCTGTGTGAGTCTATGGGTCTCTGTGTGAGTCTATGGTCTCTGTGTGAGTCTATGGGTCTCTGTGTGAGTCTATGGGTCTCTGTGTGAGTCTATGGGTCTCTGTGTGAGTCTATGGGTCTCTGTGTGAGTCTATGGGTCTCTGTGTGAGTCTATGGGTCTCTGTGTGAGTCTATGGGTCTCTGTGTGAGTCTATGGGTCTCTGTGTGAGTCTATGGGTCTCTGTGAGTCTATGGGTCTCTGTGAGTCTAGAGGTCTCTGTGTGAGTCTATGGGTCTCTGTGTGAGTCTAGTGTGGATCTCTGTGTGAGGTCTATGGGTCCCTGTGTGAGTCTATGGCTCTCGGTGTGAGTCTATGGGATCTCTGTGTGAGTCTAGGATCTCTGTGGAGTCTATGGATCTCTGTGTGAGTCTATGGATCTCTGTGTGAGTATATGGATCCTATGTGTGAGTTATGGTCTCTGTGTGAGTCTATGGATCTCTGTGTGAGTTCTCGGGATCCTCTGTGTGAGTCTATGGCTCTGTGGCGAGTGGTGGATCTTCTGTGTGAGTCTATGGGTCCCTGTGTGAGTCTAGGGGTCTCTGTGTAGTCTATGGGTCTCTGTCGCGAGTGTGTGGATCTCTGTGTGGAGTCTATGGGTCCCTGTGTGAGTCTATGGATCTCTGTGTGAGTCTATGGGTCTCTGTGCGAGTGTGTGGATCTCTGTGTGAGTCTATGGGTCCCTGCGTGAGGCGGTGCCGCCGCGGCTCCACCCACCGCAGTGTGGTCGGTCACACGGTTGGGGGAGACCTCCGGCACGCAAGCCCTCCCCACGCTGCCGTACACGTAGGCCGCCATGAAGTGGCGCGCCACGTCCGCGGGCGAGCGGGCGCCGGGCCCTCCGCCCGACGCGGCCCCCGCCGGGGTCCCTCCTCCCCCGCTGCCTCCTCCTCCGCCGCCCACGCCGGGCCCGGGGCCCCCTCCCCCGCCCGTGCCGGTGGGGCCCCCCATCGCGGAGCACCAGGCGGCGTTGACGTGGGCCCCCACGTCGGCCCAGTTGCCCAGCCCGTGCTGCTCCACGGCCTCCAGCAGCTGCTGCTCCTCGAGGCACGACCAGGGTGGGGCGCGGGGGCCTGGGGCACCGGGGTCTAAGCACATGGAGGGAGGGAGGAGGGGGTGCAATAGGAGATCGTGAGAGGCGGCGGCGGATTGGAGAGGCCTTGATCCAGCAGTGGGTAGACCATAGCTGAGGATGCAGTGACAAATGGCTGTCAGAGGAAAACAATCTCGCGACTTTTATCGGACGAGAGGACACAAGATTTAGGAGCGTTTCCACGTGTGTGTGTTATGGATCCCTACATCAGTTCACTGTTCAATAACATAACATTGTGTCTTGACAGGAAACCAGGTTTAAGAAAATATACGCAAAACCCCAATCGTCTCCACGTGTAAATACAAATGTTTCAATCCACCAGCCTATTGGCTTAGACATTGGTCTCATCAGCAGTAAGGCTGGTGTTTTATTTTGTGCTTGTTTACCCTGGAAGACCTCACCGAGTCCCAAGACTATTTCAGGAGGGTGGTGCCGAATTGTGATTACTGCTGTGTGTAATCCCAGTGAGTAATTCAAACAAGGGCGCCGAGGTGGTGAGACGTTAACCATCTCGCCTGGTGTAAAAGATGTCGTGGGTTCGATCCCGACCCTCAAACCTGCTGTATATTCGGAGTGTGCATGTTCTCCACGTGGTCGCGTGGATTTTTATTCGGGTCCTCCGGTTTATTTCCGTCAACATTTAGAAACATGCCTTTAGAGTATTTGGCTGCTATGCATTTCCACTGGATAAGCCACTTCATTGGGCTATCATTTGTGGCCAGATAGCTTCTGAAAATATCTACTGTATATAGCTCAGTGGGCCTTACCTGCTAAAAAATGTAAATGCCGCTCCATGTAAACTTTGGGGCCCCGCTCAACACAACATCGCACACAGACTCATCATGTGATTCCAAATACACGCCAAAAATCATTGTACGAGTCTACTGTGTGCAACGTAGCAGCAATCATCAACACCCCGGGTCGCAATTATTTTATTCTGAGACCTGCATAGGTAACTTATAATTACCTCGTGAATTGTCCAGTGACAGGATTATTTATTGGCATCTCCTGTACCAGCGTACAGGACTGAACTATGCTTAAGTGACGATATCCAAGTCTGACATTTTGACATCAGAAACGTCTTCAGCGACACCTAGCGACTTGTTTTGGTTCTTTCGGCCACTCGCCGCTTTTAAGAAGTTGGCAGCACTGGGCGACTCTCCTCACCCTCCCGCGCCCCGAGCCCGGGCCGGGTCCCCTCGCCAAACAGGCGGCCGACTCGCTCAGGCAAGACGGGGGGGTAGGGGGGGAGACGCGGTGCGAGTAGGCCTCACCGTCAAAAAGTGGGAAGGTGCCCGCGTCCTCCAGCCTGAAGGCGTGACCGCGGCGGTGCGTGCCCAGCTCGGCCCCGGACGCGAAGCACTCGAGGCAGAGCTCGATGTCGGGGCAGTCGGCGCAGCGAACGCGCACCGCGGTCGCGTCCGCCAGGCAGTTCACGCAGTACTTGCGCTTGGGCGCCATCGCGTCCGCCATCTTAGCGCGGCGCCAGCGGCGGCAGCGCCACTTCCGGGTTGCACCGAATCCGGCGCGCGCAGCCGCCAGCAGCGCAACGGAACCCTGGGGGGGGGGGCACAGGGGTGGGGGGGGGATGGGGGGGGCATAGGGGGGGCGAGGGGGATAGGGGGTGGATGGGGGGGGGGATAGGGGGGGGATGGGGGGGCGAGGGGGGGGGGGCATGGGGGGGGCGAGAGGGCTGGGGGGGCGAGGGGGATTGGGGGGGATGGGGGGGGCGAGGGGGATGGGGGGGCTAGGTGGATGGGGGGGCGGGGGGGGATGGGGGGGCGGGGGGGATGGGGGGGCGGGGGGGGATGGGGGGGGATGGGGGGGGCGGGGGGGATGGGGGGGGCGGGGGGGATGGGGGGGGCGGGGGGGATGGGGGGGGCGGGGGGGATGGGGGGGGCGGGGGGATGGGGGCATGGGGGGGATGGGGGGGCGGGCGGGGATGGGGGGGGCGGGGGGATGGGGGGGGGCGATGGGGGGGGGGGCGAGGGGGATGGGGGGATGGGGGCGGGGGGGATGGGGGGGCGGGGGGGGATGGGGGGGGCGGGGGGGATGGGGGGCATGGGGGGGAATGGGGGGGCGGGGGGGGATGGGGGGGGGCGAGGGGGATGGGGGGGATGGGGCGGGGGGATGTAGGGGCGGGGGGGATGGGGGGGGCGGGGGGGCATGGGGGGGGGATGGGGGGGGGCGAGGGGGATGGGGGGGATGGGGGGCGGGGGGGATGGGGGGGCGGGGGGGGATGGGGGGGGCGGGGGGGATGGGGGGCATGGGGGGGAATGGGGGGGCGGGGGGGATGGGGGGGGGCGAGGGGGATGGGGGCGGGGGGGATGTAGGGGCGGGGGGGGATGGGGGGGGCGGGGGAGCATGGGGGGGGGGGATGGGGGGGGGCGAGGGGGATGGGGGGCGGGGGGCGAGGGGGGTGGGGGGGGCGAGGGGGACCCGCTCTGCACCGCCACCTGGTGACGCGTCGCGACGCCTGCGGTTACCGGGGCAACGGGACGCGCGGCCTGGGGTGGTGGAGAGGCCACGAGACGGGACCCCCAGAGACCCCCAGAGACCCCCACAGACCCCCAACACGTGGACAGGGACCAGGAGAGACCCCCACAGACCGATAGAACTGCCAAGGTGGGATCAGGGAAACTAAGGAACCCCCCCCCATATACCCCGAAGAGGCATCCCCTTCGATCCCTCAGACAGGATCAGGTGACCCTTGTAGAGCCCGGGGTAGTCTCAGGGGACCAAGCGAGAACTCTGGGACCCCCTGGGGGCGAGAGCCGAGGGTCATGGGGGACGCGGCGGGGCCGTGGGGCCGCGTGGAGGCGCTGGGGGTGACGCGGGAGGAGGCGGCGCGACTCGGCCGCGCCATGCGGGACCCCGAGTTCCGCGACCTCCTCATGGAGCACGCCAGGGAGCTGCAGGAGCCGGCCACGCGGGCACGGTCAGTACCAACATCATCCTCCTCATCATCGTCAACATCATCATCACCGTCATCATTCACATCATCACCGTCATCGACATTATTATCATGAACATCCACATCATCGACGTGTTTATCATCGTCATCCACATCGTCACCATCATCATAGTTGACATATCCAACATCATCATCATTATCAGCCTCCAACAAGCACGCGCGGGACCGGTGTGTACTAACTCACGGTGTGTACATGTGTTGAGTACTCACTGTGTGTACTCACTCACGGTGTGTACTCACTCACGGTGTGTGCATGTGGTGTGTACTCACTCACGGTGTGTACACACTCGCGGTGTGTACTCACTTGCGGTGTGTACACGCGGTGTGTACTCACTGACGGTGTGTACTCACTCACGGTGTGTACTCACACACGGTGAGTACTCACTCGCGGTGTGTACACGTGGTGTGTACTCACTCGCGGTGAGTACTCACGGTGTGTACTCACTCGCGGTGTGTACTCACTCACGGTGTGTACTCACGGTGTGTACTCACTCACGGTGTGTACTCACTCACGGTGTGTGCATGTGGTGTGTACTCACTCACGGTGTGTACACACTCGCGGTGTGTACTCACTCGCGGTGTGTACACGCGGTGTGTACTCACTGACGGTGTGTACTCACTCACGGTGTGTACTCACTCGCGGTGTGTACTCACTCGCGGTGTGTACACGCGGTGTGTACTCACTGACGGTGTGTACTCACTCACGGTGTGTACTCACACACGGTGAGTACTCACTCACGGTGTGTACTCACACACGGTGAGTACTCACTCGCGGTGTGTACACGTGGTGTGTACTCACTCGCGGTGAGTACTGACGGTGTGTACTCACTCGCGGTGAGTACTCGCGGTGTGTACTCACTCACGGTGTGTACTCACGGTGTGTACTCACTCACGGTGTGTACTCACTCACGGTGAGTACTCACGGTGTGTACTCACTCACGGTGTGTACTCACTCACGGTGAGTACTCACTCACGGTGTGTACTCACGGTGAGTACTCACGGTGTGTACTCACTCACGGTGTGTACTCACTCACGGTGTGTACTCACTCACGGTGAGTACTCACTCACGGTGTGTACTCACTCACGGTGTGTACTCACTCGCGGTGTGTACTCACTCGCGGTGTGTACTCACTCACGGTGTGTACTCACTCACGGTGAGTACTCACTCACGGTGTGTACTCACTCACGGTGTGTACACGTGGTGAGTACATGTGGTGTGTACTCTCACGGTGTGTACTCTCACGGTGTGTGCATGTGGTGTGTACTCGTGGTGTGTACTCGTGGTGTGTGACATTGTGGGCTGCGTGCGTTGTCTCTGTAGCTACGAGCAGGAGATGGCCGAGCTGGAGAGGGAGAGGGGGATGGACGTCACCTTCCTGCACATCTCCCCAGGCTACGTCCTCAAGGGCTTCATACGAGGTGCCCCCCGCAACCCACCGGCCCCCCCACACGCACCCGGGTACTCACACCGAGACGTATAAACTCACACCGAGACTCATACTCACACCGAGACCCACAGACTCACACAGAGACCCATAGACTCACACAGAGACCCATAGACTCACACAGAGACCCATAGACTCCCCGGGACCTATAGACTCACACCGAGACCCATAGACTCCCCGGGACGTATAAACTCACACCGTGACTCATAGACTCGCAGAGACCTATAGACTCACACCGAGACCCATAGACTCGCAGAGACCTATAGACTCACACCGAGACCCATAGACTCGCAGAGACCTATAGACTCACACCGAGACCAATTGACTCACAGAAAGACCCATGCTTACAGAGAGACCCATACACCGAGACCCATAAACTCACTGAGACCCATAGACTCACATCGGGACCGATTGACTGACACCGAGACACATAGACTCACACAGAGATCCATATATAATCCACAGAGAGACCCAAGACTCAAAGATTCACAGAGATTCCAATACTGTACAGTACTCACATAGCAACCCATAGTTACACACGTAATATATCTGCTTGCATAGAGACACATACTCGGATAGAGACCCATAGCCTCACAGACTCACATAGTGACTCCATGACTACCGCTATTAACTAAGTTAAATAAATGTGGTCTTGAGATGCGGTTGTTTTTGGGTCAGGCCCCGTGTTGGTACGAGCTTCGTGGCAACATCCTTGTGTCGTTCACCCTCCACCGCCCGACGACGTCGTTACGGTCACACAAATATTATGATTATGTACACGCGTGATCAATGTATCGATCAGATTCTGACCAGCACAGCTCCTCTTCCTCACCGGCGGTGGAGGTGACTGGAAACTCCTCACGGGGAACTCAACATCAGCAAAGTGCGAGCGACGTGCGGCTGAAATCTTCGCTCAAACCGGGAGCTCACTCGTAGTTCGTGATTGTGCTGTGCTCTTGCTGTCTTTCACAGGAGATGGTGCAGCAGCATCAGGAGGGAGCCACGGTGGCGAGAGAGGTGGCACTGGCACTGCCACCGGCACCGCCGCCACCACCACCAAGGCCTTCATCAACGTGTGCTGGGTGGACACTGGGCTGGAGCCGCCCTCCGCGGAGCACTCGCCGGCCCGGCCCGGCGGCGTCATGTGGCGGCTGCCGCACGCGGTGCTGCCGCCGGCGCGGCGCGACGTGGACGGGCGCGGCGCGCCGTGCGCCGTGCACGACGTGGCCTTCCACCGCGACGCCGCCGCCCTCGCCACGGGCCCCGACCCGCGGCTGCGCGCGCTGCTGGACGACACCGCGGCCACCGCCGTGGAGGACGCGCTCGGGGTGCGGTTCGTGAGCCGGCACGACCGCGGCGGCGGTGGCGGCGGTGTCGCCGGCGGCGCCGCAGCGAGGACCGGCGTGGTGCGGCGCATCAAGGCGACGTACAAGGGAACGCCGCCGCTGCGCTCCCCGGTGCTGCGTAAACCAAGGGCCGGAGCTGGAGAGGGGGCAGCGGCGGCGGCGGAGACGGACGGCGGCTTTCCCTTCCCGCCAGGACTCGAGGTGCCGCCGCCGTGTTCTTATTTTGCTTCGTCGTGGAGGTCGCGGGTCTGCGCTTCCTGCTGCTGTTCTGCGGGCCTGTCCTAGGTCGTCGTCTGTGTGCGCACTCCAGTCCTCCCGCTCTCCTCCATCTTCTCCTGTTCCTCCTTCTCCTCCTCCCCCCACTTCTCCTCCTCCACCCACTCCCTCCACTCCTCCCTCCCTCCCTCCTCGTGTCTTCTTTCTGAACCAAGTGTAGCAATGAGATTCGCGATGTTTCGCTTGAAACTGCGTCAAACATCATCAGGACAAGAGCCGGAGAGTCAGAATAACGACCCAGGATCCACGTCTTTTGACCTGAAGCTGCTTGGCGCAGTTTCATCGAAACGCCGCGTATCTATTTTGCTAAATTTGGCCGTAGGAAGAATTGTTCTCGGACTCACCGCTCAGTGAGCTGTAACTGGCCAAGTCGTTAAACGTCAACATATAATTTGCTTGGCCGTGTCGGGCGGTGGAGGGTTCCACGACACAAATATGACCCAGGTCCGTGGTTGATGCCCTGCGGAGGATGTGGGCGGAGGCGTAGAATGCATCCGTTGAATTTGCTTCTCAAAGTAATCGTATTACTTTCCAAGCCGTGTTAGCGGTGACGTAGGGGCGCCGAGTGAGCGACCCTCGGCGAGTGAGGAGCAGCTCACGATGGAAGCAACGAGCGTCGTGACGGTTCATTCATCTCTCTGCCGGCTCGGTTAACGTCATCAAAACCCAAGCGTTGTCATCAAGTCTCGTGTCTTTGGTGGCAAGAGACCCTGAGAGTTGGGGTCACACTCCCCCCCCCGCCCCTGCTGACCTCTCTCTCTACCGCCCTCTCTCCTACAGATGCCGTACCCGTACTCAGGCGCCACCACCACCACCAACACCACCACCACCAGCGTCCTCAGCACCGGCACAACCGCAACCAAGATTCACGGCAACCGCAACAGGTATGGGTAGTGACGCATCGGGGCACATCGGTGGCGTGTTCGCAGCTCGTTGCAGAAGTTCACGGTTCGAATCTCGGAAATAAGTGGCAAGTGGAGTAGTCGGAGCTCGACTTCCTGCTGCTGTCGCCTTGAAACGATGGGGACGGCGTCGGAGGGGCGCGGAGACAGCGAACGCAACGGAGAGTTTTGTTTTCCACCCAGGAGACGCGACGGAGGTGGAGGTGGTGGAGCGGGAGGCGGAGTCCCGGACTCGAGTTCGTGTGCCAGCGAGTCCCCTGCCGTTACGCAGGGGCAGCCCGCCGCAAAGGATTGTGGGAAAGCTGCAGGGGGGCTGCAGTACACCGTGACGCGCAGAACGTACTCCGACATGCAGGTGCGTGCGTAAGGGGTGTGGGTCCGTGTGTGTGTGGGGGTGTATATGGCGTCTACGTGTGTGCCTGCCTGTGTGTGTGCGTGTGTGTTGGAGCCGTGGTACAGTTGTTAGCATCCTGTACTACGAACCCGGCGACGCGAGTTCAATTCCAGTTCACGGCCTACGTGGGCGACCGATATCTCAACTGATCCCGGGTCTCCATAAAGGTCGACTCGGACGTAAACGGGTGCCTGCTGCCGAGTATTGAACATCAGCACTGGGGAGACAAAGGCGGCCGGGCGTGGTGCGAGCCACGCACCCCCTCGCGGCTGCTCCACGCCCGCCTTCGTAGCTGTTGCTCGCTCACAGTACCTTTCCCCAACAGTCCGCGTGGGCTACGCGGGTGACCTTTGCACGTGGTGCGCCTGGCGCGTGTGCAGGACTTTGCGGTGGATGCCGCCCCACGGAGCGCAGCTGCCGCGCACGAGCTGGTGGTGCGCATCGACCTGGCCGGGGCGTGCGCACGCTGCCTGGCGCAGCCCGGCACCGCCATGCGTCTCGAGGTCGGCCACACGGCCATGGAGCTCACGCTGTCGCATGCCAAGCACCCTGAGCAGCAAGAGCATGAGCCGTGCGCACACCTGATCGTGCCGCTGCCGCTGCCGGTTGTGGCCGGCGGGGGGCACGCCAAGCTCAACCGCGACGCCAACACCCTGACCGTCACCGTGGAGACGCTCGCCAGGAAAAACGCCCTGTCGGCCGGGCGGCGCGAGCGTAGTGGCACACCGCTCGTGCGAGAGGTGGGGCAGGTGGACGCACAGGGCAGTCAAGCAGACAGACAACAACCGGACACTCAAGCAGACGGGCAACAACCGGACACTCAATCGGATGGGCAACAACCGGACACTCAATCAGACAGACAACAACCGGACACTCAATCGGATGGGCAACAACCGGACACTCAATCAGACAGACAACAACCGGACACTCAATCGGATGGGCAACAACCGGACACTCAATCAAACGGACAACACTCGGACACTCAAGCAGACAGGCAACAACCGGACAGTCAAGCAGACAGACAACAACCAGACACTCAAGCAGATAAACAACAACCGGACACTCAAGCAGATAGACAACAACCGGACACTCAAGCAGATAGACAACAACCGGACACTCAAGCAGACAATCAACAACTGGACACTCAAGCAGACAGACAACAACCGGACACTCAAGCAGACAGACAACAACCGGACACTCAAGCAGACAGGCAACAACCAGACACTCAAGCAGACAGACAACAACCGGACACTCAAGCAGACAGGCAACAACCAGACAGTCACCCAGACGGACAACAATCTGACACTCAAGCAGACAATCAACAACTGGACACTCAAGCAGACAGACAACAACCGGACACTCAAGCAGACAGGCAACAACCAGACACTCAAGTAGACAGACAACAACCGGACACTCAAGCAGACAGGCAACAACCAGACAGTCACCCAGACGGACAACAATCTGACACTCAAGCAGACGGACAACAATCTGACACTCATGCAGACGGACAACAATCTGACACTCAAGCAAACGGACAACAATCCGACACTCAAGCAGACGGACAACAACCGGACAGTCACCCAGACGGACAACAATCTGACACTCAAGCAGACGGACAACAACGGGACAGTCACCCAGATGGACAACAACCGGACAGTCACCCAGACGGACAACAATCCGACACTCAAGCAAAACAACGAGATACTCAACCAGAGCAACTGGCCACTGCACCGGATATGAACAACAATTGGACACTCAACCACGTGAGCAATCAGAGAAACAAACAGACACTCAACCAGAACATGGCAAGCCAGATGAGCAACCACCAGACACTCAACCAGATGAACAACAACCAGACACAAAGTCAGAACACCCAGACACTCAAGAAGAACTAGACACTCAACCAGATGAGCAACAACCAGACACAAAGTCAGAACACCCAGACACTCAAGAAGAACTAGACACTCAACCAAAAAAACAAATGGACACTCAACCAGATGGACAACCAGGCACTCAACCAAAACAACTCCCCACTCAACCAGATGGACAACCGCAGACTCCACCCGATGAGCGAGGGGGTGACGACGGTGGTGCCCATGGGTTCGAGATACTGAGCAGCGACCCCAGCGACCATGTGACTCGCTGTCCAATCCAATTCCAGAACGACCTGCTGTTTGAGCTGGACTGAGAGGGCCAGCACTCCCCTGCGTGGAGTTTGTGTGTTGTCCCCCTGTCCTGCATGGGCTTCTTCCGGGATAACAACCCCCCCCCACACAAGTGGAACTAGTATTCATATTCTTAGGTTTTTTTCCGGTAAAGTCACGTAGGTAAAAAATTGTAATTAATAAAAGTAAAATAAAATGAAATAAAATCACGACGTTTCGGAGGCAACACAAGCTTCCGTCTTCAGGTGGAACCGTCACAGCACGATAGCTGTATCAAGTGAGAGAAATTTCAAGAAACAGTATTTGTATATATACTGGTTGAGGGTGGGAGGAGCCAAGGTAGGCGCTGAATATTATTTTTTTGAGGTTCGGTGCGACTGAAGCACGCTGTTAGGAATGAGCCTTTGTTGTGTAAACTAGGTGCGGATGAACTAGCATTGGTGAAATAGAATCACAACCCAATGTTGGAATATCAGCTGCACATCACTCAATTGGGATCACACAGCAGCAGCCGCTGCATCGTGCCCACCCCCTCCCCCAGGTCTTGAGACTCAGTGGGGCTTTTTAAATCCTTTATATTAAGTTCACTTGCTTGCTTGCTTGCGCGCTTACGACCGTGCAAATCTTTCGGTCGTTTTTTAACCCACTTACCGTGATCCAATCGAGCTGACATTTTGCACACAGACTCGTTGTGCGTGACAATTTATTATCGTGAAAATTTTTCCAAAATTTTACACTTTTTAGGAAAAAATAAATTATATTTAATTACCAATTGCTTAGTGGTGGCAGGCAATCATCTGACCCATAGGTGGCAGCCATCTCAAGCCAGAGGACGAGAGGACTCTAGCCGCCACGCATATAAAGGATTTATAGTGAAAAACTTTGTTTTTACGGGTTAATTTTTCTATTTACTATTTTCATCCTACCAGGTGAGGCCCACAAATGATCGCTCTACAAAGCAGCTTATATCATTGCGTGGGGATTTCTAGCAGCCAAAGACTTGTACAGCAGTGTTACGCAAACTTGATTTAGCCCGTGGACCACTCAGCCTAATGCAAACATTTCCACGGGTCACCCAGCTCCCCACCCCTGGTGACAAAACGCATTCACTCGTCTCTAAATACTCGTACAGGGGCTCCTCATTCAGACGCTGTCTTTCCGACAGACCTGTTCCTCACCTGAGGACGGCTGCTTGCGTTGTGGCCGAAACGTCGTGAGAATTATTAAATTTTTATTATTTTATTATTTCCCTTCTACGTGACTTTACCGAAAGAACCAAGAAGAACGGATTCCTCTACTTACGAACGAGTTGGGTTCCAGAGGTCTGTTCGTAAGTCGATTTGTTTGTAAGTTCAACAACATTACTCTTGTCGATTCCAAAAATCTGAAACGGCATGTACACTAAACACGGGGAATAGCTGTAAAAGTTGAATAACCTGTAGATCATCATTGGACCTCCTTTGCCAGTACCAAAATATAATAGGGGTTTTCCCCTTTTTTCTGGCAACAAAGCTGAAACCTTTTTACAAGGATTCATGTATGCATTAACCACAATACTTTGCAGGCAAATTGAAACAAAAAACACACATTGATAATATTATATGCATTGTCCTTGAAATTGATTGGTCCACACCAAGGGATGGCTTTCTTACGAGCCTCGACCCAATTGGGTCTGCAAGTATTGTGGTTAATGCAGTAACACGAATCCTCGTAAAAAGGTTTCAGTTTTGTTGCCAGAAAAAGGAGAAAACCCTATTATTATAATCTGTAGATGTAGATGCTACTGGTTTTTCATGTTCTGCAGATGTAGATGCCATCACAGCTATCTATTGCGCGGTGGTTGAACTTGCGACTTTCGGTCGGAACAGGCGACTGGACATACGCACAGGTTTGTTCGTTTCTCTGAAAGTTCTTAAGTCGAATGTTCCGAAGTAGAGGAGTCCCTGTGATACAAAATGATTCATATTACCGGAACATAAAAAAAAAATGTCAACGCAGCGAAAAGTTTTTTTTTTTTTAAGGGGTGGCATTTAGATCTTAGGGTTAGGGTAGTTTGATCAGGACAATTTACCTAACTTAATTTTATAAATTAAATATCACAAGTAAAATCTAAATTAACGTCTTAAACTAAGGGTGTAAAAACGTAGTCGTTACTCGAGGATCAACCTTCGTTTGCATCAGAGTTCCACGAACTACCTGGAGGACTGTCACGGACCACCGGGGGGGTCATGGGGACCGCACCCTGAGAACCACTAATCGAGACGCAGGTTCCTCACTGATGCACAAACTAGCATCATAATAAACTAATAGAAGTGTCTCTCAATGTCGCGCACTCAAGATCCCTCGCCCAGCTGCCCACATCTCCTCACTCCTGCATACACTGGCCCACACCGGCCCCCATCACCACCACGATCATTTTTCTCATGACCAAATCTCCCGCAATGTGTCCAATCGCAACAGAACAGAGAAGCTAAGCAGGTTTGAGCCTGGTTACCGATTGGGTCACCACAACCACTACACCACCACCACTCATCACGACCGCCGCCACCACCAATTATCAGAAACACCATCGCACCACCAACATCACCACCACCACGTGACGTGGTTTATTTATTGACAGCTCCAGCACCGGGAAGGTTTGTCAGTAGTTTCCAGGGTTTCCCACGTGGGTCTCCTCGATAACTCGCAACTGCAGCAGCTGCCTCTGCACTTTAATCATCGCATATCATATCGCTAAATCACAACGTAACCAATCGCAGCAGCAGCAAGGTGTCACAAGCGGACGGAGGCACAACCGGGAGGGAGCGATGTGAGTGACTGGCACGAGCGATTATTCATCCATTAAAGTTGCTTCTCGCACTCAACGATGCATGTCCCAACCTTGCGAGCATGTGTATGTATGCGTGTTACATGTGTGTCTAAAGTGTTTGCAAGGTGGCACAGTAGGGAGCACAGTTGATGCATCTACCAGTCATCTCAGCACAACCCGTGGCACTTGGGTCTGTCCTATGACTTACCAGCAGCGAGCCTTTCACACTTCACGTGACGGCCTCGAGGTACACCTAGCCTGGCACAAGCGCCATGGTAAATTCACCGCCAATTAACGGTGAACATTTGCTGCCGTGTGCACAATTGTGTGTTGCACATACTCCCTTGCCCCCCGACCGGCGCCATCACCCCCCCCGCGCGACCACCGCGGCCACAGCAGCCGCCCCCACCGCCAGCGCCACCCCGGCCCACGCCAGCCGGTCGACGCGGCGCGCCAGCCGCTCCTCCGTGTCCCACAGGGCGCCCAGCACCGCCACCTCGCGCTCAATCTCCTCCTCCTCCTCGGCGGTCCCCTCCCGCAGAGCGCCGGTCCCTTCCGGCCAAGCGCCGCCGTCCGCCGGTTCCGGGCCGCGCTCCGTCCCCGCCGGTTCCGCCGCCGTTTGGTCGCTCTCGCCGCTCTCGCCGCTCCCCTCGACTTGCGCCGTGGGCCCCGCGTGGCCGGCGGCGGCGGAGCCGCGGGCGAGCCGGCGCAGCTCGCGCACCCCACCCGCCAGCTCGGAGAGCCGCCGGTCCGAGCGCTCCGCCGCCTCCCGCAGCGGCGCCAGCCACGCGGGCATCCCGCCGGCCACACCGTCGTCGCCGCCGTCGTCGCTGCCAACGCCGCCGCCAACGCTCGGCGCCGGCTCCGCGGATCCGGGTGTCGGTGCCAGCAGCTGCGGCTGCTGCTGGGTCCTGGTGGTGCTGGCGGCTGGGAAAAGACGGGAGATGCTAGACGTGGCGCCAGTGCAGGGAGAAGGGGCGGCTCGCGCTAGTGTGAGACGCGTGAGAGATAGACGCATGAGACAGGGAGAAAGACAAAGATCCCCTGTGTAGCCTTAACAGACTGTTGAGGCAAGTGCTGTGAGTAGCACCGATGAAGGTTGAGGTGACACAAGAGGAGGTGGTGTGGCCAGAACCACGCCCATTTGCCTGTTTCCCCACTATACACCGCACCAGGGGATGGCCCTAGACTATTTCACTGACACGCGCATACGGTAGAGAGCGACACACGAGGGAGAGCGACACGTGCACACCACGGGGGAGAGTGGCGCGTGTGTGGGGCGCACCAAGCAGCAGCGTGCGGAGCTGCGTCACGGCGCCTGCGAGCTGCGCCTGCTGCTGCGCGTGCGCCGCCGCCTGCTCCCGGAGCGCATCCTGCAACGACTCGGGGCCGCCCCGTGCCTCCCCCACGAGCTGGCGCAGCTCGGCCAGGCGGACCTACGGGGGGGGGGGGGGGGCGGTTAGAGCGCTGCGCTACGAATCCGGCGACCCGAGTTCGACTCCCGCTCACGGCCAACACCAGTCCTAATTATCTAAACCGGACCTCCCCCAGGTTGACTGAGCCTCAAATGAGTACCCGGTGTGATGTGTAAACATCGCCATGAGGGAGACAAAGGTGGCTGGGCGTAGTGTAGGCCACCCGCTGCCTCGTCCGTTCAGGCTATATGGGGGATCTTTGTCTTTGGTGTGGAGAGTGGGCGAGAGCACCCTTACCATTGCGGCGGCGACGAAGATGATGGAGCCGCGTGTGGGGTGCATGGGACTCGCACACAGGGCGCACGAAGGGGATCACGACGACGACGACGACATCACGATGGTAATGACGATGGTAATGACGATGGTAATGACGATGGTAATGACGATGGTAATGACGAAGGCCGTACGGGAGAAGTGATGGGATTCCCACAGGACACGTAGGATTCATGTGGGACATGGGGACAACAATGACGATGACCATGATGGGGGGACACAAGTTGACACAGCAAAGCAAACCCCCACATGTCCCCCATGCCCCGCACACCCCCCCCCCCCCCCGCCGCTTGCCCGGTTGATGTACGTGGAGCCCGCGACGCCGACCAGGGCCCCCACGATGGAGCCGATGAGCGACCAGTTCTTGGTGCGCTCGGTGCGAGCGCGCTCCTTCTCGTGGCTCTCGCGCACGCCCGCCGAGAACGCGGAGAACGCGTCGCGCTCCGCGTGGGCGCAGCGCACGTGGTTGGCGCGCACCACGCGCTCCTCCTGCGGAGAAAACACGGGGGGGGCATGGTGAGACAACTGGAGACGGGGAGACACAGGGAGACAAACGGGGAGACAAACGGGGGACACGGAGTGCATGTAGCACGCTCACACCACGCGCTCCTCCTGCGGAGACACGGGGAAGACAAGGAGGGAGACACGGGGAAGACAAGGAGGGAGACACGGGGAGACACGGGGAGACACGGGGAGACAATCGGAAACACGCAGTGCATGTAGCCTACGCGCACCATGTGCTCGTGCGGAGACACGGGGCAGACACGGGGGCGGGGGAACATAGTGAGACATGGTGGGGGGCATAGGAAGACAAACGGAGACACGCCACACAGTGCATGTAGCCCGCTTACAATACGCGCTCCTCCTGCGCAGACACGGGGAATACAGAGGGGGGGCATGGGGAGAGACGTAGAGACACAGTGAGACACGGTAGGGGCATAGGGAGACATGGGGGAGACATGGGCGGTGGGGATGGGGAGACATGGGGAGACACGGTGGCTGGGGGAGGCTTGGGGAAATACAGGGAGACATGGTGAGACATGGTGAGACACGGTGAGACACAGGGAGACACAGGGAGACACGGTGATACACGGGGAGGCACGGTGAGACACGGTGAGACACGGGGAGACACGGGGAGACACGGTGAGACACCGGGAGACACGCAGTGCATGAAGCCCGCTCGCATCGTGCACTCCTCCTGTGGAGACACAAGGAGGATATGAGACGCAGCAAATGGCACGCAGTCATACGCGACAAGCACACACGGAACGCACGGGACCATGGTTTAAGAGACATACAGGACACAAGCTGATGATCAAGTAGACACCGCACATGTCCCACATGTGTCTCCGTCTCCCCCATTCCCCATCTCCCCTTGACCCCCTGTCCCCCTGTCCCTTGATCCCCTGTCCCCCTGTCCCTTGACCCCCTGTCCCCCGTCCCCATCCACCCCTGTCCCGTGTCCCCGTGTCTCCGTCTCCCCCATTCCCCATCTCTCCCTGCCCCGTGTCACCCTGTCCCTTGACCCCCTGTCCCCGTCCTCCCCTGTCCCGTGTCCCCGTCTCCCCCATTCCACATCTCCCCCTGCCCCATGTCCTCCTGTCCCTTGACCCCCTGTCCCCCTGTCCCTTGACCCCCGTCCCTGTCCACCCCTGTCCCGTGTCCCCGTGTCTCACCTGCAGGAGGCGGTGCTCCTCAGTAGCGAGCTCCAGGTACCTGGCGTCGTCTCTCTCCACTCGCTCCAGCCGGTCCCTGGCCTGGCGCAGCTGAACCTGGAGCGCGTCCACCTGGGCCTGGGCCTGGCGCACGGCCCCGCGTGCCGCTAGGAACACCCCCTCCGCCTGGGGGATGGCCACAGCCACGACATCACGACATAGGATCACTGAGCTTGGGCAAATTGTTGGCGCCGGTTCTGAGCGCCTTCTCCCAAGCACTTGTCTCGTTTCCCCATGGCTCCGTTGGGAAACCACCACCTCCAGAACTGCTACCACCACCACCTCCAGAACTGCCACCACCAACCACCACAACCAGAACTGCTCCCACCACCACCACCAACCACAACCAGAACTGCCACCACCAACCACCACAACCAGAACTGCTCCCACCACCACCACAACTGCTACCACCACTACCACCACAATTGCTACTACCACCACCGGAACTGCTCCCACCACCACCACCACCTCCAGAACTGCCACCACCAACCACCACAACCAGAACTGCTCCCACCACCACCACAACTGCTACCACCCGCCACGACCACCACCACCACTAAAACTGCGACCACCACCACCACCAGCACCACCACTATCACCAAAATTGCTACCACCGCCACCAGAACTTCTATCACCATCACCGCCACTGCTGCCACCACCACAATACCACCACCTCCTGTGCAGCAGCAATGACCTGCGACTGTTGGTTCCACGACACAATACCACGACAGTGCTTCAGCACCCATGGTCCTCTAGAACTCCAGCACACGTGGTCCCACAGTACTCTGGCACTCCAGTATCCTGTGGTACCATGGTCCTCTAGAACTCCAGCACACGTGGTCCCACAGTACTCTGACACTCCAGTACCCGTGGTACCATGGTCCTCTAGAACTCCAGCACACGTGGTCCCACAGTACTCTGGCACTCCAGTATCCGTGGTACCATGGTCCTCTAGAACTCCAGCACACGTGGTCCCAAAGTATTCTGGAACTGCAGCATCCGTGGTACCATGGTCCTCTAGAACTCCAGCACACGTGGTCCCACAGTACTCTGGCACTGCAGTATCCGTGGTACCATTTCTCTAGTACTCCAGCACACGTGGTCCCACAGTACTCTGACACTCCAGTATCCTGTGGAACCATGGTCCTCTAGAACTCCAGCACACGTGGTCCCACATCACTCTGACACTCCAGTACCCGTGGTACCATAGTCCTCTAGAACTCCAGCACACGTGGTCCCACAGTACTCTGACACTCCAGTATCCTGTGGTACCATGGTCCTCTAGTACTCCAGCACACGTGGTCCCACATCACTCTGACACTCCAGTATCCTGTGGTACCATAGTCTTCTAGAACTCCAGCACACGTGGTCCCACAGCACTCTGACACTCCAGTATCCTGTGGTACCATGGTCCTCTAGAACTCCAGCACACGTGGTCCCACAGCACTCTTGACACTGCAGTATCCTGTGGTACCATGGTCCTCTAGTACTCCAGCACACGTGGTCCCACAGCACTCTGACACTCCAGTATCCTGTGGTACCATGGTCCTCTAGAACTCCAGCACACGTGGTCCCACAGCACTCTTGACACTGCAGTATCCTGTGGTACCATGGTCCTCTAGAACTCCAGCACACGTGGTTCCACAGTACTGACTCCAGTATCCGTGGTACCATGGTCCTCTAGAACTCCAGCACACGTGGTCCCACAGTACTCTGACACTGCAGTATCCTGTGGTACCATGGCCCTCTAGTACTCCAGCACACGTGGTCCCACATCACTCTGACACTCCAGTATCCTGTGGTACCATAGTCTTCTAGAACTCCAGCACACGTGGTCCCACAGCACTCTGACACTCCAGTATCCTGTGGTACCATGGTCCTCTAGAACTCCAGCACACGTGGTCCCACAGCACTCTTGACACTGCAGTATCCTGTGGAACCATGGTCCTCTAGAACTCCAGCACACGTGGTCCCACATCACTCTGACACTCCAGTATCCTGCGGAACCATGGTCCTCTAGTACTCCAGCACACGTGGTCCCACAGTACTCTGACACTCCAGTATCCTGTGGTACCATGGTCCTCTAGAACTCCAGCACACGTGGTCCCACATCACTCTGGCACTCCAGGACCCGTGGTACCGTAGCTCTAGTACTCCAGCACACGTGGTCCCACAGTACTCTGACACTCCAGTATCCGTGGTCCCATGGTCCTCTAGTACACAAGCCCCCGTGGTCCCCACCCTTGTTGACTCCTCCAGGGGTCGTGGGTACCTGCGTCACTTTGCTCTGCGCGTCTCGTAGTTCCGTGAGGCCCACCACCTCCTCGTAGCGGCTCCACCACTGGCGCCCGGCGCGGGCGGCGCGCTGCGTGGCCACGCGGAGCCCCGCGCTCAAAGTGGCCACCAGGTCGGACACGAGATCCGGGCCCCCGGGAACAGCTGGCCCCCCAGGAACAGCTGGTCCCCCGGGAACAGCCGGCCCCCCCGGGAACAGCCGGCCCCCCGGGAACAGCCGGTCCCCCGGGAACAGCTGGTCCCCCGGGAACAGCTGGCCCCCCAGGAACAGCTGGCCCCCCAGGAACAGCTGGTCCCCCGGGAACAGCTGACCCCCCGGGAGCAGCTGGTCCCCCAGGAACAGCCGGTCCCCCGGGAACAGCCGGGCCACGGGGAACAGCGGAACTGGAACCCGTGCGGAGACGCCTCAGGCCCGGGTGCCACGGACCCGGCGTGACTCGGCCCCGGCATGAGAACATGGCGTGCACTGCCCGGTAGCCCCGAGTCGCGAGGAGGGCGAGTTCGAGGCGAGGTTCAAGGGCAGCTGCGGTCCCCTGAGCGCCCTGGGCGCCACCCGCAGACGCCGGTCGACTTCGTCTCAAGGCCTTGAGTTTGACCGCTGAAAATCTCCCCGCTCCTCACCCCCAGAGTCTCAGGTTTGACTCCCTTCCCTGGGGGTTCCTGAGTCGAATGATGCCTTGAGTCGACCCCCGAGTCCCAGGGGGTTGAGTCACAGACCCCCACGGGTCCCGGGGTTCGATCGCCGGAGACGACGACGACTCGGCTCCTCCAGTCCAAGGGGGTTTGAGTCCCACCGGCAAACTTCGAATGCCTCGGTCCGTACCCCCCGTGACCCCCCGGAGCCCCTTGATCTCGCCGCCTCGGTCCGTACCCCCCGTGACCCCCCGGAGCCCCTTGATCTCGCCGCCTGGGTCCGTACCCCCGTGACCCCCCGGAGCCCCTTGATCTCGCCGCCTGGGTCCGTACCCCCGTGACCCCCCGGAGCCCCTTGATCTCGCCGCCTGGGTCCGTACCCCCGTGACCCCCCGGAGCCCCTTGATCTCGCCGCCTGGGTCCGTACCCCCGTGACCCCCCGGAGCCCCTTGATCTCGCCGCCTGGGCCCCCCACGTAGCTGGGTTCAATCTCGACCCCAGGCCCCCCTTGACAACTCGGAGGCCGGTTAGGAAGTGATGTCATCCCGCGGGGTGAAGGGGGCGTGTCCAGCGGTGACGTATCCCGGAAGTGCATCCTGTAAACAGCTGATTCAAATTAGCGCGCACGTGTGCGGCTCTGCGGCAGCGGCGGGGTGACCTCCCGCGTGACTCTGACCTCTACGGCCACCCCGATCTGACCCTAAGTGACCCACAACCCCCCGTCTCTCTCCCTCCTACCGGCCCACCCCCCCCGTCTTCACCAGCCACAGCATTCGCGGCAGCTGCGGCCTAGCGCTGCCTCGAGCCGTGCCGGCGTTTGCCAGGGTTCGCCGCCGGCGCGCGAGAACGCGGCCGAGAGCTCCGGGCGGCGCGGTGATGCGGGGTCCCCGGGTCCCCACCGCGCCGCCTCTGCCGCCGCCGCCGCGGGGCCGGGGAGGCGGCGCGGGTGGTGGTCCCCCGGCGGCGCCGTCGTTGTCGGCGCGGCCGCTGCTGCTGCTGGCGGCGTGGGGCCACGAGGCGCTGGTGCTGGGGTTGGTTCGGGCGCGGCGCTCGCTGCTGCGCGCCGCGCTCGCCGGCTCCGTGCTGCTGCTACTGCTCTGGGTGTCGCTCTTCCTCTACGGCTCCTTCTACTACTCGTACATGCCGGCCGTGAGCTTCGAGGCGCCCGCGCACTACCACTTCAGGTAGCGGGGCCCTGGCCGCCTGGGCTCGTAAAGGAGAGGTCCGAATGGAGGGAGACGCATGCGAGGGGGGGGGGGGGGGAGACGTGGAGACGCACGGGTGGAAGGGGACTGAGGGGGAGACACGAGGGGACCGAGACGGGATTAGAGTTTAGAGCAGACGCGCCCCAAGGGGAGTGGAGACGCAGGCGGAATGTGCTGTACGCGAGAGAGGCAAGAGGGACGTGGAGACAACGCGGCCATGTGCGGGACGTGAGCGGGGGAGACGCAGGGGACACGGAGACCTGAGGGGGCTTGCAGGGAACACGAGGGGGGAGACGCGGCGAGGAGACACCGGGGGACACGGCCAAGGCGCAGGAGAAACGAGGGAGTCGTGGGGGGCGGAGCACACAGGGGTAACAAGGGGGACACGGGACCGAGGAGACACTACCGGTGGTGGTGGTGGGGAGGGTGCAGATGCATTGTGTGTGTGTGTTGACCTGTCCCGCGACCTGCCAGCAGCGAGCCTCCCACGTAACGCGACGGCAACCTCGCAGTGCACCTAGCCAGGCACGAGCTGCTGTCGCTGTTGTTGTTGTTGTGTCACCCCCCTGTGTGTTGTTGTTGTGTCACCCCCCTGTGTGTTGCCCCAGGTCCGACTGCCCCCGTCTCGGGGAGGAGCTGTGCTCATTCCCCGTGGCTAACGTCTCGCTCACCACCAACCACGGGCGTGACCAGGTCACTCGCACACAGAGACAAAGACCCCCCGTGTAGCCTGCACAGACTGTCGGGGCAAGTGCTGTTAGCGAGCACTAATAGAGGCCGACACGACACCTACGAGGGGGTGGTGTGGTGAGAAACACGCCCGGCCGCCTTTGTCTCCCCAATTCTGAGGAGGACCGGGACCAGTTGATGATGACGATTTTCGGGACCCCGTATCACACATCTCTGAAGTTGGTGGTGATGTTGATGATGATGTTGACTATGATGTAGATGCTGATGATGTTGATGCTGTAGATGCTGATGATGTTGATGGTGGTGGTGATAATGATGTAGATGGTAATGATGTTGATGGTGATGATGATGTAGGCGATGATGTTCGGGACCCCCTACCACATCTCCCTGGAGTTGTTGGTGATGATGTTGACTATGATGTCGATGGTAATGATGTTTACGGTAATGGTGATGGTTGTGGTGATGATGATGTAGGCGATGATGTTCGGGACCCCGTACCACATCTCCTTGGAGTTGGTGGTGATGTTGATGATGATGTTGACCATGATGTCGATGGTTATGATGTTGACGGTGATGCTGTAGATGCTGATGATGTTGGTGGTGGTGATGATGTAGGCGATGATGTTCGGGACCCCGTACCACATCTCCCTGGAGTTGGTCCTCCCCGAGTCTCCGACCAATCAGCGGCTGGGGATGTTCATGGTCGTCATGGAGACGTACGGGCGCGGAGGCGAGAGTCTGCAAACAGCAGAGCGCGCGGTACTCGCACATTGACAGCACCTGCTGCAATACAGCAAGTCCTCCTTTAACACGGTAGATGCGTTCCTGAAAAGTGCCGCGTTGAGAGAAAAACGCGTTGAGAAAAAACATTTCCCCCCCATGAATATTGTAACGAGAAAGTTTGACCGGATGCGATGAACTACGCATACACAGTGAGATCATCTTCTTGGTTCTTTCGGTAAAGTCACGTAGAAGGAAAATAATAAAATAATAAAAATACAACATAATAAAATAATTCTCACGACGTTTCGGCCACAACGCAAGCAGCCGTCCTCAGGTGTAGAACAGGTCTGTCGAGAAGGCAGAGTCTGAATGGCACGCCCCAGGCTTGGAGCGACTATTTATGCTGGGATGGAGGGTCGAAGAGCGTCTTGACATAATAATTTTCATATCAAGAGGAATTTAGCATATTTATGGGAAATGCAGATATGCGATTAGCACTACTTGTGAAATGCGTAGGAGGTTTGGCGAGGGGTTTAAAGTCATTATGCAGGATTAGCAGTATCACCGCTCCGCTCGGCCGCGCAGCTGCAGAAAGTAGTTCTTCATCGGCTGTTCCGAAACCCGCGTTATGACGGGCGTGCCCCGCATTATGACGGGGTACACTCCACGTTATAGCGGTGAGCATTCTGCCTTACAATGGCGCGCATTACGCAGTGCACGAAAAGCGCTCTCTGATGGAAGAACCGCATTGCAGTGTGAACGCCACTTGTTAAGCGAGGACTTACCATACACTTCACTACACGGGACAGTATTTACTGTCGGTAGAGGCATGCAAAACAAAGCAAGGTGATGTAGCGGTACCGTCCGTGGTGTTTGCGGTGGTGCAGGTGATGTTGCGATACCGCTCGTGGTTGTTGCGGCTGATGGAGACTGTGGTGAACGCGCCGCTGCTGCTCGGCGGTTGGACCGAGCAGAAGCAGACGCTTGACGTAAACTTCTACTCGGACTACCGAGAAAACGCGGTGAGCAACCACAACCACCACACGCAGCCACAATACACCCACACACAATCGAACACAACCACTACACACAATCACACGCAACCACCACGCACAGCCACCCACAGCCACAATACACCCACACACAATCGAACACAACCACTACACACAATGACACGCAACCACTACACACAATCACACACAACCACCACGCACAGCCACCCACAGCCACAATACACCCACACACAACCACCCTTTCATAGGTGTGCCGTGCCAGCCTTCATAGGTGCTACTCGCTAACAGCACTTGCCCCAACTGCCTGTGTGTGCTACATGGGGGATCTTTGTCTTTGTGTGTGTGTAGTACCGCCCCACGTGGGGGGCTCTGGTTGAGATTCGCGCGCGCAGAGTGGAGATCTACTCGGCAATCGTGCGCATCCACGCACGATTCACAGGGCTCAGGTGACGCCACCATCATCACCATCATCACCATCATCCCCACCACCACTACCATCAACACCATCATCATCACCATCACCACCATCATCACCACCACCACCACCATCAACACCATCATCATCACCACCATCACCACCATCATCCACGCACGATTCACAGGGGCTCAGGTGACGCCACCTCACATCACACATCACACCATATCAACACCACCAACTATCAACATCAACCCCACCACGACCATCAACATCAACACCATCAACACCATCATCACCATCATCACCATCATCACCATCATCACCATCATCACCATCATCCACGCATGCTTCACAGGCTCAGGTGATGCCACCATCACCACCACCAACATCACCCACCACATCACCACCACCACCATCAACACCACCATCACACACCACCATCAACGACCATCAACACCACCATCAAACCACCACCTCAACACCACCACATCAAACACCACCACCATCACACCACACCATCACACCACCACAACACGACCACCACCACGACCATCAACACCACCACCATCACGACCATCAATCAACACCACTATCACCACCACCATCAACACCACCATCACCACCACCATCAACACCACCATCACCACCACCATCACCACCTATTACCACCATCGCCACCACCACCACCATGATGAGCGGTGATGGCGCCAACTTGTGCACTCATGTTGATGTTGGCCCTGTCCCTCTGGTTCAACTTGTCTGGTTGACGACTCGTGCTTGTGTGTGCTTGTGTGCTTGTGTGTGCTTGTGTGTGCTTGTGTGTGCTTGTGTGTGCTTGTGTGTGCTTCCCGTGTGTGATTGTGTGTGCTTGTGTGTGCTTGTGTGATTGTGTGTGCTTGTGTGTGATTGTGGTCGCCGCGTGTCTTGCCGTAGGTACCTGATGTATTACTTCCCCGTGACGTGCGCACTTGTCGGAGTTGTGAGTAACTTCTCGTTCCTGCTCGTGGCCGCGCTGCTCTCCTACCTCCAGTGGGGGGGGGGCAGGCCCCCTGACAACATCCGCGTGCAGGTAAGGGGGGCACGGGGGGGGACGCACGGTGGCGGGGGGGTGGTCCGGGGGCTTGGGGGGCACCGGGGGTGGGGGACACAGGGAGGGGGCAGAGTGATGGGAGTGAAATGATTCACGGGAATGATTGATGGTGGTGATCGTATTGACGGTGGTAATGGCATTCCTCACTGCAGGTGGACTTCAGGGAGGGAGTGACCCCCGTAACTACCTCAACCCCAGGGACGACTCTAAGACAACGGCGAGACGCGCTAAGACAGCGGAGAGACGGTGAGAGCGAGAGAGAGATCGTGTGAGTGAGAGAGATGGTGAGAGTGAGAGATCGTGTGAGTGAGAGAGACGGTGAGAGCGAGAGAGAGATGGTGAGAGTGAGAGAGAGATGGTGAGAGTGAGAGAGAGATGGTGAGAGTGCGAGAGAGATTGTGTGAGTGAGAGATGGTGAGAGTGAGAGAGAGATTGTGTGAGTGAGAGATGGTGAGAGTGAGAGAGAGAGAGATCGTGTGAGTGAGAGAGATGGTGAGAGTGCGAGAGACGTTAAAGAGAGCGGGGAAATAGTGATGGGGTGAGAGGGTGAGCAAGTAGGCATTTGTGCATGTGTGTTAACCTCTGTGCATATTTGTGTACCTGTGTGTTCATAAGTGTATACCTGCATGGGTGTGTACTTGCATGTGTGTGTGTCTACCGCCGTGGTGACATCACTACCACTTTGTGGCGAATGGTGACTATTGTTGTGTGTACTTGTGTGTGTATCTTTGTCTCTGTACCGACAAAAACAACCCCCTACCTCCTCGATGGTGCCGGGCGGTAACAGTGTCGTGGCGGTGAGCAATACCATGGGGGGGAAGGCCGATTCCAATCGGCTTTTTTCCATCATGGTGCTCCTAGCCAACACAGCGACAAACGGGGGCTCTGGACGGTGCGACGGGCAGGTGACCAATCCACCTTCAACTAAATTACCACGAGACCACGGTATAAATCGCAAATTAAGCTTGTGCCGGAGGTCCCGGGAGATGGGCGGCATCTATGGCGTCTCCTGGCAGAGTCAGGAGACTGAACCTTGGGGTTCGTCTAGAAATGGCAAAAAGCCACTGTGAGTGGCCACATGGAATGTGCAAAGACTCAGTGTGGAGGAGAGGCTGCCACTCCTCTGTCGCGAGCTGGACCAGTACCGCCTGGATCTCTGTGGTATTCAGGAGGTCTGGTGGACTGATTCTATCACTGGTCACTATGAGGTTTTGACAGTCCTCTACTCGAGGCAGAAAACTAGCCAACCAACAGGGAGTGGCTCTTCCTCTGAACAAAATAATGAAGGGGGCATGGGAGCGTGGCAGTGAGGTGTGAGAGGCTGTGAGTCCCAGGGTACTGTGGGCTTGCCTTCCCATCAACCAGAGGCGAGGAGTACTGGTTGTGGTTATTTGTGCCCCCACCGAAGACGAATATCCGTGGAGGGATGCAGGCAAGGCCGATTAGTCCGATGCCTTCTATGACCTCCTGTCACAGGTGCTAGCTAAAATGGCCCCTTGGGATAGAGTCATCCTGTTGGGTGTCTTTAATGCCCGAGTTTGTCATGACGCGGGCACCTGGGCATGGTCCACATCAGCAAAATAACCATGGTAGGAGGCTGCTAGACTTCTGTGCAGCCTATGGGCTTGAAATTACCAACACGCTGTTCCAGCATTGGCACATCCACAAATCATGGATACACACTAGGTCCAAGTAAGAACATCTGCGGGACTATATAGTGACGGAACAGCAGATGCGGGCCCATGTTCTTGACACCAGGATCTACCAACAGTGGCCTGGTCTCAGCTGATGAAAGTTGCAAGTGAGAATGTCATCATCGCTTCGAGTTGCGGGTGGCATCCCCCCCCCCCCTCCTCTTGATGTTGAGGGGAAATGGGCAAGGTTTAGTACTGTGGCTCATGTAGCTGCAATGGCTGCTTTGGGTACGCGGTCCAAACCTCCCCCAGAGACCCTGACGGAGGAAGTGTTCCAGCTAGCTGAGAAAAAGTAGCAGGCCAACTCCCACCATCTATAGCATACCACGTCAGAGAATGAGAAGTGGTGGTTGCGGGTTGTTGAGGAGATGGGATCTGTCTCGGTAGCCCTCGTTTACAAATCACTCTTTAATTCCATTAGCACGACACCTATCACCATCCTTCGGGGAAAGACCGGTGATCTGATCTCTGACCCCCAGAAACAGGTTTGCAGGTTTGCTGAGCATTTCTGTGAGATCTTGGGGGAGGGGAATTCCCTCAGCCCAGAAAACATCATGGGCAAGGTGGGGATGACCTCGCTGAAGCTGCTGTGCCTTAAATATTGGAAGAAGTAGTCACCCCCTGTGAGTGGCTGGCTGAAGTGCCATCAGTTGGGGAAGTATGGAACGCGATCCAGAGTGTGAGAACAGGAAAAGCGCCGGGCAAAGATGATCTCCCAAGCGAACTGCTGATGGAGGGTGGCATTTGTGTGTCGACATCATTACAACAGTCTGGACCACTGGACAGGTTCCGCAGGATTGGAAGGATGCTCTGGTGGTCCACCCTTCAAGAAGGGGGACCGACCGCACAGACTGTAACAATTACAGGGGCATCTCCCTCCTCAGTGTGCCAGGAAAGGTCCTGGCAAGGATTATTCAACACTAGCAGGAAGTACCCGGCATTGCCGGGGTCTTAAAAATATTTCAAAACTACTCTTAAAAATGTAACAGCAGTGCATACTGACTGTGGTGGTACCTGCTATGATTACAGCAGTGTATACCAACTGTGGTGGTACCTGCTATCACTACAGTAGTACATGCTGACTCTATATCAGTATTTATCGACTGTATAGCACAACGTACTCACCTGACAGAGTGGCGTGGTGAGGCCTAGTCCCGTGCAGAGCCTCCGGCCTCGCCTAGATTGTACAGCCGGCCGAGGTGGCACCTTGTTAGGCTGGGGCTGGGTTGCTACCCCCCCCCCCCCCCCCCCCCGCAGTCACGATCTCCCCGGCCGCTCTGCAGTGATATCTACGGCCTATAGTGGTAGCATCTAGCGACTGTATAGTAGTGATAACTACGCGCATTGGAGTGGGGGGGGGGACATCACACAGTGAAGAATTTACATGAGCGTTTATAGCATTTTTAACACGAAAGAAAATGTCCCCCTCACTACCACCGAAGGCGTGCGACTTGGCATGGGCCGCCCCCCCTACCAAAGGCGCGTGAGTTGGTACGGTCGCGCAGGCGTCATAAATAAATACATAAAATGTAAGCGCACAAAAATCGCACTAAATCGACAAGTAAACCAATTTTAAGTTGACGGGTGTGAAAAAGGAATAGCGCTTGCTGACCGTGGGGCTTACGGCGTGGTGCCTGGCTATTTTTTTTACGTCAACCCCACCGTTGGAGAGCCAAGCGCGTGACCACACACAAACCCACAAACAATTTTTGACTTCTATATATATAGATTACCTTGCCAGGTACGCCGAGGAGAGGCTTGTGGAGCCCCAATGTGGTTTCAGACCAGGGCGGTCCTGCACAGTTGCCATATTTTCTGTCCATCTGCTACAGCAGAGGTGTAGTTGATTCCAACAAGACCTCCATCTCTGCTTTATTGACCTGGTCAAGGCCTATTTATACCATCAGCAGGCCAGGGCTTTTAGTTGTTATTCGTGCTTTTGGAGTCCCGGACTCTCTGCTCACAATCATTAAGGACCTTCATGATGGTGGCCAGGCAGGGTAAAGCTACGTGGCCGGGCTTCAGAGCCATTCCCTGTTCACCTTGGGGTGTGACAGGGATGTCCTCTGACTCCTAAATCATTTAAACAAATGTTGAACACATAGTTCGGGAAGCCTTTCATGGCTGTACCGGAGGAATTTCCGTCTGGTCTAGATACAATGGGAGGCTGATGGATGACCAGGTGCGGTCGAGGGATGGTTCTGCGCTGGTTAGAAACATTCAAGCTGGCCTGCCTACGATCCATCCTGGGTTCAACCAGGCTGAAATGTGTGAGGAGCTCACAAATCCTTGAAAGATCTGGACACGGTCACATCAGTGAGCTCCTCTGGCAGGCAAGGCTTTGTTGGCGAATGGCGGTTGTTATTGTCGTGTACCCGCGTATGTGTGTATCTGATTGTGTCTTTGTACCTGCGTCTGTACCTGTGTGCGTAGAACTGACTGCTGGACAAACGCTGCTGACGCCGGCAGGAACAGGTGACACACACGGGGTCACTTGGGGCTACCGCCCCTCCCCCTCTTCCTCCACCCCCTCTTCCTCCTCACCCCCTTCCCCTCCCACCTCCTCCTCTTGCTGGTGATGGCCATTTTTTTACCTTTAAGGTTGTTGGCAGCCAACATCATTGTTCATGATTAATTATTGCGTTAGGCCATGTACCGATCTGGCCGTGATTGTCTTCTAAGGCCCTCCACCACCCGGCGCGGCCAAACAAATCAAAACGTCACGTGGTGCGCAGGCGTTTAACGTCGCGCCGCTTGTGATCGTGTCGGTTCAACTCACCCGGTGGCGAGTCAGGGAGTGATTATCACACACCAGGCGAGATTGAGAGTGATTCTCAAGTCACCTGCTGTGAGTTAGAGAGGTTTTATCACCCGGTGAGTTCACAAGAAATTCTCACCTGGTGAGTTTGAGAGCAATTCTCTCCGAATAATCAATTATTAATGAGAATCGTGATGTTTTCACAGGCCGTGGTGGTCGTGGTGATGGTAGCGGTGATGGTGGTGATGGCCGTGGTGATGGTGGTGATGGCCGTGGTGATGGCGGCGGTGGTGATGGTGGTGGTGGTGCCGTGCTGGAGACGCTGGGAGTTCGCTCGTCTCTGCCGCTCGTTCGAGGTAACACTGGCGGTGGTGGTGGTGGTGGTGGTGACGGCGGTGGTGGTGATGGCGGTGGTGGTGATGGAGGTGGTGGTGATGGAGGGTGGTGGTGATGGAGGTGGTGGTGATGGAGGTGGTGGTGATGGAGGTGGTGGTGATGGGGGTGGTGGTGATAGTGGCAGTGGTGATGGCGGTGGTGGCGATAGTGGCGGTGATGGCGGTGGTGGTGGTTGCGGTGGTGGTAATGGTGGCAGTGGTGGTAGTGGTGGTGGTGGTGGCGGCGGTGGTGGTGGTGGTGGTGGTAGTAGTGGTGGTGGTGGCGGCGGTAGTAGTGGTAGTGGTGGTGGTGGCCATGAGGGTGATTAGCGACGTCCCGTTAGCCGATCCCTCCCGACCCCCCACCCGCTAACCCCGCCCCCACCCCCACCTCCTCCAGTTGCCGTGGAGACCACGGAGGAGGCCACTGCCGTCGTCGCCAGCGACGACACGGAAGAGGGTGACGCCCCCCTCCTTGCGACCTCTGACCCGGAGCAGGGGTCACTCAGGCAACGTCACGTGACCTCGCTTATGCACTTCCCCCCTAACCCATCGCCCCCCCCCTCAACTATGACCCCTGAACACTTGACCCACGGCCCTGCACTGTGACCCACGGCCCTGCACTGTGACCCAGCGCCCTGCACTCTGACCCAGCGGTGCCGTGCACTGTGACCCAGCGCCCTGTACTGACCCAGCGGTGCCGTGCACTGTGACCCAGCGCCCTCCGCTCTCCGTGATGCTTGTGGCGATCTGCCAGTCCCAGTGCATACTTAAGACTGTTACAGAGCTCCCTCTCTACCCCCTCCTCTCCCCTCTGCACGTTCGCGATTGCTTGAAAAAATATAAACAAATAAACTCAAATGACCCGATGGTGACCCACGTCTACCAATGTCTCTAGCCTTGCCTAGACCACCAGCTCCAGAGTGGGGACGCGTGACGGTACATTCGAAGCGACCGCCGACGCGGCGGAGGGCTGGGAACGTGGCCGCATGAGCGAGCGCTCGGGTTTCCTGGGTAGAAGGGGGCCCCTGGGTTTGATTCCCGACTGGGTCGCTACCCCTCTCTGGCGAGTTTGTACGTCGTATGTATGTTGAACTTCTTTCGCACCATACGTAGCCAACCGTGCGAATCGGTAGGTGCGAGAAAAGTTTGTTCTCCCCCTGTTCTGCATGGGGTTTCTCTGTTTAGCGACATAGAAAAGTAATGCAGCAGCGTAGCGCTGGCTGCTGGCGGGGAAGGGGATCTGCAGCTTGCAGCAGCCCTGACGTCAGCAGGCCACGTGACACACCAGAGGGGATATCTGGGGGAAAGGTTACAGGAGCACGTGGGGGGAGCCTGGGAACCCGCCGGTAGGTTCTAGACAAGGGGCGTGGCCAGGAGCGAGGCCACGCTGGGAGCATAAAAGGGGGCCCTGAACGAGAGCTCGGGGCTGTCGTTTGGAGTGGGATCTCCGTTGTGCTGTTGAAGATCGTCGCTGTTGTCTTCACTCGACATTGCGCTGCTAGACGGTAGTTGGCTGTCTCGGTTCAGCGCCGTCGGTGTTAGACGGCTCGCGTTGTGTGTAGGCTCGCGACACACGTAGAGTTTACACTGAGACATCTCCTTTACCAGTGGCAAAATATAGTAGTAGGTTTTTACCCTTTCAACTGGTACAAAAACTGACACCTTTATACAAGGCATCATGTTTTCAATAACCACAACACAATCAGTCAAAATGCATCATCTGGTCCAACACCAATGGAGACTAGGCTCTAAGAAAAGCTGTCTCGGGTGTGGACCAATCGACTTCAATGACATTATCATCAGAGTTGTTTCTTTTTGTTTGCATTTTGACTGCTTGTGTTGTGGTTATTGCAAACATGATGCCTTGTATAAAGGTGTCAGTTTTTGTCCCAGTTGAAAGGGTAAGAACCTATTACCACGTAGAGTTGTGTATAAAGTGAGCGACATAAGAGCGTGGACCAGCGTAGGGTGTGTATTGTGCAAAGGGTGCTCGGCTAATTAAAAGTGCCGTCAACTCTTCGTGTCTCCGAGTTGGTCACTACATCTGGGTTCTCCGGTTCCTATAAAAACATACAGTACCCAGGAGAGCCTCATCGAGTCTCAAGGCTCATGTTCAGGAGAGTCCTGCCAGGTTTGTCGCAGCGATAGGGGGCGATGCTGCTGCTGTGTGATCCCAGTTGAAAGAGTTTTGCAGGGAATGTCAACTTTGGGGATGTGGTTTGGTCGATGCCGGTTCCACTGTGTGTGGGTTTAGCTATGGGAGGAAGCAGAACCCAGAGGAAGCCGACTCAGAACAGGGGGAGAAGATGGAAAATCTGAAGTCAACACTTTTAGAGCTTTGTGCAGATATGGGATAAGTCCTGTTAGCAGGTAGCAGCACCTATGAAGTCCGCCACGGTACACGAGGGGGTGGATGGCCAGCACCATGCCCCTTTTGACTCCGCAATGTTCATGGTGACACACCGCACCAGACACCCTTTGGAAGCTTAGTCGACTTCGGGGAGGTTCAGCTCTGGTTCAACTATCCAACTGGTTGCCTGGTTTGTCGCGCAGCGCACCAACACCTTCACCACCCCTCCCGACTCTCACTGCAGAACAGGGGGAGAACAAACAAACTCCACACAGAGAGGTGCCCAGGTTGGGAATCGAACTCAGGGACTTCTGGCTGCGAGACGCATCACCGCTCACTCGCTCTCACTCACTCGCTCGCTCTCACTCACTCGCTCGCTCTCTGCAGCAGCAGCAGCTGCATCGGTGGCATTGAAGAAGAGAGCGGACACGGGCCCGTTACGGCATCACGGGTTTATTTGCCCTAGAGGCTTCTTGAGTGGCACACACACACACAGGTTCAGTACACGAGGCCCCAACAATCTGAATATTTCTGCTCAAACACCGCGATTGAGTACGTGCGTGTACGTGCAAGCGTTGTTGATATTCGGGGCGCTGGCCCAGCTGTAGTAGTAGCGCCTTCACTGCAAGTTGCGGGGACTCAAGGTTCGAACCCAGCAGGCCGCCCTGGTTAATACTGCGGTGGTGCTGGGTATTATCCATTAAAATACTACCACTCCGCGTCGTCCACCGCTCTCGCGATGAACGCGAAATATCCCGTGATGTGATGTGCAAGCTCCTCGGGCTACCTTGTGCCCGAGGAGCTTGCAAAGCAGCAGCATGGCCCACCACCCGCACCACCCCCTCTCCTCGACCACCACTGCCGCGGGCTGTGTCCGTGAAATGGCGGCAGGGCCTTGCGGAGTGTGACGGCTCCCAAAGGGGCAATCGTCACACTTCCCCCCATGGAGTTCATTGTGGCCACGTCTGTCCGTTTCCCCCGCCCACCCCTTGCCCACCACATCCAGGACGAATCTACCCCCCGCTACGGGCCTGTGCCCACTAAGCCACGTTGCCAACCTCCTCCAGTCTTAAGCCTGCGAGCCAGAATACATCTGCCTACCCGGCACACCACATCAAGTATCCCTCCCTCGGCCTGTTGCTACGTACGGCTCACCACGAACCCCCCCCCCCCCTCAACTCGATCGAGTGCTCGCCTGCAAACTGTTTGGTGAGCAATGACGCACAGGCTACAAGACGACCGCCCCCACCCCGCCCAAAGCAACAGAGGGTCCCCTTCCACAACTCCCATCACGCAGATACATGCAGGGCGGCCTCACCCCCCCCCCCCCCCCCCCCGGGGCCCCCTTCTGGTTTCACGATTGCAGCGCCCCCCCCCCCCCCCCTGTAAGAGGGCGACCGTCTCCTGCTGCTGCCTGTAAACAACAGATGCGGCTCCACAACCGGTGAACGCTGTGCACGGTGAGGAGGGGATGCACGCGAACAGCAAATTTTGCGGAGAATGAAATTGGCCTACGAAATTTTTTAAAAATAAATTACCTTAAATAAATACATTAATCCAATCACTTTGTCTCTTTCGATGCAGCAGTCGTGTAGAGTTCCAGATGCGATTCGCAGATAGCCAAAAGCGCGGACAGCGAGTTCGCGAATAACGAGGGAATTCCGTACACGCGGTAAATGTCACGATCGCGAGGCCGAGGGCCGCCGAAATCTCACGCCGGCCACAGGGTTCGCTCGCAGCCACCGTCACGACTCCTCGTCCAGTTCCGGGGGGTCAGGCCACGTGCTCTAGTAGAGCGGTCACGGTCCTGGCCGGATTTGTGTCGAGAAACTCTCCACCACTTGACACGGCCAAACGAATGTAATTGTCACCTGGCGCACGAGCCGTGGTGACAACGCGCCGATTATGATGGGGCCAGCTCACCCACCAACACAACAACAACAACCGCCATTTGCCACTAAGTGGCGGTGACGTCACCACGACGCTTGTGCCAGGCCATGTGCACCTTGAGGCCACGTGAAGTGTCGAACGCCCGCTGGCAGGAGGTCACGGGGCAGACCCAGGTGCCATGGGTCGACTGACTGAGACGACTGGCTGATGCACCACCTGTGCCCCCTACTGTGCCAACTTGCTGTGCTTTAGCCACTCCGCTCGTTGTTGTGAGCGTCGCTCCTCCGCCCTCCGTTGTTGTTGGAGGGCGACTGCCTCCAACTGCCCAGTAGCGTCCTTCACGAGCCTCCTCCACAGAGGCTGATCTTGACACCGCTGGTACCAGTCATCGGCAAGTCCACTCAGCTCCACGCCCTCCTGTACCACATCAACACTCCCCCTCACTCAGCCACATCCTACCCACCCCCCCCATCCACTCACCCACACTTCTACTCACCCACCTACTCACTCGCCCACCCATCCACACTCCTACCCACTGACCCACCCACCCACTCACACATGCACTCACCCTCTCATCCACCCACCCACTCAACTCGCCCGGTGAGCCAGAGGATTAATTCTCACGACCAGGTTCAACAGCGATCAGATCCAGACCATTTCAATCGACGCTGCGTCTCCAGGGCAGGAGCCCGGGACGTGGACAAACGTCCACGCATCGTTACACCGCGCGGTGACTGAATTCGTTTTGGCCGTGTCGAGCGGCGGAGGGTGTCGCAACGCGAGTCTTGCCAGGATTGTTCGTTGCCACGTGGCCCAGCACAGACAACCCGGTGGACGACGAATCGTAACGAGTGTCGCTGCAAGTTGGCTGTCGACGGTGCTGCCGGCGAACAGAGCGCACGCCCGCACAGCTTCATCAGCCGACGCTATCAGCGGTGCACAAGCACAAACAACAACTCGGCTCTTGTCTACAATAACAACAACGCTGCCGCCACCGTGTGTGCGTGCGCGTGCATGGCCTTAAAACGAAACTTAAATAGCAGGCGACGTCTTGGACGATGGCCCTTCCCTTCATCGCACACACAGAGAGAGAGGCTGTCGGTGAGAGTGGTGATGGCGACGTACGGCTGCTGATGTAGTCGCAGAGCGACAACTACAATCTCACATCCAGGTGGTCAAGCCAGGTAGACGTGTCAGGAGCACCGGAGTGCGTCGCTGCGATGTATCCGTCGTATTTGTGGATTGGGCTGCGTCGTTATACGTTGAACGTTCTGTTCAGGATGAACAAAGTGGCACACTATGATAATTGGTTCTTTACCCTTCTATCTGGCAACAAAACTGACACCTTTTTACAAGGAGTCATGTTTGCATAGACCGCAATACCTGCAGTCATAATACAAACAAAAGAACATAACTCTGATAATGTGCACTGTCCCTGAAGTTGATTGGTCCACACCCGAGCATCTACACTATGGTTCCCATAGTGTAGATGCTTGCCCCGAGCTCTCATACTCTGAAGGTGCATTGTCCTTGAGTTGTGCGCCTTTTGGCGTCATCTGGTCCAACCCATATGAGACTAGGCTCTAAGGAAAGCTGTCTCGGGTGTGGACCAATCAACTTCAGGGACAGTGCACATTATCAGAGTTATGTTCTTTTGTTTGTATTATGACTGCAGGTATTGCGGTCTATGCAAACATGACTCCTTGTAAAAAGGTGTCAGTTTTGTTGCCAGATAGAAGGGTAAAGAACCAATTATCATATTTTTACTGGCAAATGAGGTTCCCATAAAGTGGCACACTACTGGGGCGTTTTTAATTGTCCAGTTGTGCATCAGGCATCCGCATCTGCTACGGTTTGGTTTGTACGGATGCGGTCGAGGGTGGACATTGAATGAGCTTCGTGGAAGATCAAAACCAGGAACTTTGGAGATGATGATGACGACGACGATGATGATGGAGGCGACACCGTGGGCATGGGGGCCTGTGGAGAATCGCGTCCGAGTTCGGCGTGAATTTTAAAATCATCGTCCGAGTGACCTCACAGCCATAGAGGCCGACACCGACTCTCAACGACAGCCTCACCCGCCAGCGCGCCCCTACAGCGTCTCATTGACACCATCACAGTCTCTGAACCACGGCTTCATGGGGTCAACGACGGGGAACAGCGCTTCACCTAAAGCCTCGTAATCTCCCCTTCCAGTCGGGCCGAGCTACAGTCCCAGCCTTACCTACAGACCCAGCCTGACCTACAGACCCAGCCTGACCTACAGACCCAGCCTGACCTACAGTCCCAGCCTGACCTACAGACCCAGCCTGACCTACAGACCCAGCCTGACCTACAGTCCCAGCCTGACCTACAGACCCAGCCTGACCTACAGACCCAGCCTGACCTACAGACCCAGCCTGACCTACAGTCCCAGCCTGACCTACAGACCCAGCCTGACCTAGTCCCAGCCTGACCTACAGACCCAGCCTGACCTACAGACCCAGCCTGACCTACAGTCCCAGCCTGACCTACGGACCCAGCCTGACCTACAGTCCCAGCCTGACCTACAGACCCAGCCTGACCTACAGACCCAGCCTGACCTACAGACCCAGCCTGAGCAACAGACCCAGCCTGACCTACAGACCCAGCCTGACCTAGTCCCAGCCTGACCTACAGACCCAGCCTGACCTACAGACCCAGCCTGACCTACAGTCCCAGCCTGACCTACGGACCCAGCCTGACCTACAGTC